CGAACATTAGAGACCCTCTCGATCGATATCTGCTGCTTATCGGAGACCCGCCTGCAAGACTCGAGCTCTGTGCTCACTCTGCGATCCCCTTCAGGTGACACCAGCTGTACTTTCTCATTGCGCCTATCCGGTGACGATGCAGCTTCGAGTACCAGCCAAGCTAGTGTTGGCATTGCCTTGAATCGCCGGGCTGAAGCTGCTCTGGTTGATTGTATCCCAGTCAGTAGCCGGATGTGTGCGGTCCTATTGGTTGGCTTGTTCAAATCTTCGAAGTCGCTTGGGACTAATAAGCGTCTATTCCTCATCGCTGCCTACGCCGCCACAAACTCTAGCAATGATTTGGTAAAAGACGACGTCTATCGCCAACCGAACGAACTCGTTCGTCACGGAAGAAGCTCGGACACTCATGCGCTGGCGTTGGGTCTGAGCGCTCAAGTTGAAAAATTATGCATTGTTGTACTGCATCTGGGCGGTCAGCGCGGTGCAGACTGCCCTAATGCTAACGGTGAGCGGTTACTTCACTGCTGTGAAGCTGCCCGCTTATTTCTTGCGTGTACCAAGTTCCGACACAACACCCGCCGGAGAGTGACTTGGTGCCCACCAGCATCGAACCAGCCTTGAACGCAAATCGACCACACTGCAATCACTTACCGATGGAGAACCTAGGTCCAGAACTGGCGCTGGGTTTGACGCACATGTGTGGACACCGACCATACACTTGTATGTGCTGACATCCGGTTGCTCATTGACACCAGTCAACTGTTGAAATCAGCTGTTCTATACACGTATCGAAATACGCTAACCTGTGGGTTGAGTAAGCGCTCACTGAAGAGAATTGAAGGTCACTGGTCGCATGTTCACCAGACCTTACTGGTAACAAGTAACTCCTCATGTGGTAAGTTTAATCGCCAACATGGACATTGGGTCTCTTTGCGGTCTCTGGAACTGATCTATGATCGCCGGCATATTCCGGATAGAAGTAAGTACAATGAAACTCACAAAGAGCCCTGAGGAAATCTCCGTGCTAGCCTGAACAGAGACCGCGAATCCTGGTGGTCGAATCGTGCGTCAGACATAGAAGTGCCCGCTGCCCTTGGTAACCATCAAAAGTTATTCCGGTTGATACGGGGAAAGGGCAGCAGGAGACCTGGTGTTAGTGAAACAATTTCTGACGAGAGTGGACAGACTATCCACAACTTGTCACAACGTTTGGGGCGTTAAACTGAGCATTTTGCAAAGCAGCTTAACCGGCCAAATCGTTAGATTCCTCACGGGCCAGTGATCTCCCTGCTACATTGGCTGTCCCTTTGGATCCGCTCTGTCAATCAAAAGACAAAAGTGAGATCGGATTGTTGAAGTTGTGCAAGGCCGCGAGACGATGGTCTATACCTAGCCCTCTTTAAATTCGAGGGCCCTGCTCTTGTTGATGATTTACACGAATTACCAGTGAATCTGTGGAAGGATGAAATCGTCCCAACCGACTGCGGCCGCTCCGTGATTGTTCCCATCTTCCAAGGTGGTTAGCACTCGGAATGCGGCATACATAGAGTAATCAGTCTCATCATCATCGCCTCCAAATCACTTGCCTCTGTAATTCTTCACAGCCTGACTGGGCGGCTCGTGAAGGGCCACATTCCGTGAGGAGGAAGCCGGGTTTCGTCTGGATCGTGCTGTATCGATCATATCTTCACTTTGCGTCAGTTGTTGGAACACCGTCGTGAAATCGCAGGCCCAACGTAGTCGCATTCTTCGATATCAACGGTGCCTACGATTCAGTTGATCAATGTGTCCTTTGAGGTTATCTAATCAGGAAAGGTGTGCCCGAGAAGTACGCAAATATTATGCACGCACTATACGCGTATATCACCGATAGAGTAGAGGGCTCTACGCAAGCTGTCGCGAGCCCTGCAGTATTTCCCGCGGTGTGAGACAAGCATGTCCGCTGTCACGTTTCCTCTTCATATGCGCTCTTGACGACTGCATGGAGGTTGCATTCACAAGACACGACTTAGAAGGTGTGTAGCTACTTCTGGTAAACGACTTCTTGACTTGCAGTATGCAGACGATATTGCTCTCTTCTGTGACGGTTCCCAGACGTGCCAAGCTGCATTGCACAGATTGGCACTAGCTGTCAGCCGCTTCGGGCTTTGTTTTCCACCATCGAAGTGCAAAGCTTTTCTCGAAGATTAGCAGGGATCACCTCCTGCGCCGACCCCTGTTGGGGATCGTTCAGATTTTAACTACTATCTAAAATGAGATCACGAACCCTGTAGCAAAAGTTCTAGGTGCTTGTGCTAGCCTTCGCCACTTATGGCGCCGGCGCGACATCACTCTTGCCCTGAAGGGTAGAGTGTACAATGCAGCGGTTGGTTCGCCCTTAATGTACGGCTGCGAATCCTCGCACTTTAGATCAACCGACATAAAGAGGTTAGTTAGGTTTGATCACCGGTTCCTTCGCAGTTTGGTTCACATCTGGTGTGAACACCGCGTGATCAACCAGCGTGTTCGATGCCTTGTTTAATAAAGGGGAAAAGGAACTGAACCCTTCAGCACCGTCATTTCACGCACTAGGCACCAATGGTTCGGCCACGTGTTACGCATGCCAGCCTACCGACTCCTGCGATGTGTGTTGTTTGTGCGCTGGGGTGTGGATGGAAGAAGAGGAGAGGTGGCAAAGCGATGACTTGGCTCTCACTTCGAAGGTGCCCTCGGTTGGGGCCTCTCGTCTCCTTGCTTGGTGTCCGAAAGACGACGAACACGCTTGAATAGATACACTTGATGGGATTGCCAGGAGCCGACCTCAGTGGCGTTCGTGCTGTGAGTTGCATTGTTCCACCGCATCCTTCTTAGCCTTCTCCTCCAACCACGATTTCATTTCGCACTATAATATAATTTTACATAATACCTTTTGTTGCCTAGTAGCCGACTGGTAGCTTTCCGGAACGATGCCTATCCGTTGCTGGTAGCTCAGCTGGCATGCATCTGTTGTATTTATCTTTTTATGTATTGCGGCACAGTGACCGAGGTGTTTTACACCTCTAGCTAATGTGTATAATGATGATGACTGTACAGTTGCATCATGCTGTAACGGTTCAAAGCGTCTTTGTCTAAGTGCAGGTGAGTGAATTCGATATTCATCTAATTTGGAAGATGTGCAATGAAGTAGCTGAAGCTGGTAGATTCAAACTGGTAATCCGTCAGTGACTGATGGATGGAGGAAGTGGTTTTGATGACAATTCGAACGGTTGCAACGTTGTGCTGTTTCCGTTGGTGAAATCTACGATATGTGTTGCTGTCAAATTAAGTGGGTACCATGCGTTTGCTCAACGTTATTTGGTTCAAGTTAGAGATTCTGCAGCTCTCTGTAAAATGTCTCAAGCACGTGGTTATCTTCAGAGAACACTGAGGCAGTGGATGAAGGGGTTCTGCAGAAAGTTACTCTACATTGATGTATCTCCATCACAGGCGCATTAAGCTTCTCAAAAAAACGATGCAGATTTGATGGCGGAATCTGGTTGGTAATGGACACATTGCCATTGCGTGAAGAGAAATTTTTGGATGGAAGAAGCCCTATATCTCATGCAAATGATTCACTTAGTGCTTGCATCGTCCTGATGCCTCCTCAGTATGTATTAAACGACGGGAGCCGTAGTGTACTAGGACGTCATGGTCAATTAGTTAGTTCGTGTCTGACGATTTTGTCACCAAAACTCACAGATGAAAGTGTGTTGGTAAATTCCGCAATTACTTTGCAATTGTCCATGCTGAATGGGTTCCCACTCGGCACCGAACATCTAGGTCACTCTATGTGTCATTTTGAGTGTTGTACCCTACGCACCAATTCTCTTATTCACTACAAAAATATTGCAAGAGTGCACGCATTGAGTGATAATTTTGAATCGCTCCTCTAATGCGATCCCAACCTATCGTTCCTAGTTATTTGGTGTCTGAAAGTCCGTTGAACACGGGAGCGATGCAGGAATAGCTGTACATTACGATCAACATCAGCACCTGGATTCTGGTTAACGTGTTCGTTTTTTGGATAATTGAGAGAAAAATCTATGTAAACTCTTTGTAAGTATCAATGATAGTAAAGCAGGTGTGTGTTTGTTATGTTTAACTCAAGACACTTTGATTCTATACTGAAACCACCTGTGGTCACCACTTTTCTTCGAGCGCAATCATGTTGTAACTTAAAGTCATTCTTTTGATATCGTAAAGCTACGAATGGTAATCCAGCTAACCCTAACAGATTTGGTTGGAGTTAGGATCATCTGACCGAAATACACCCGGAAATCCATCCGCTAGCCATCTATGCCTTTTGAGCTCACCGCCAGTGCGCGCTTCCTCAACCCGGTGCGCAATGGAAACAAGAGTCGGGACCCCACTTTCGCAAGACGAACATCGCCACCACTATCCGACGTCGCACACACCAGCCAGTGTCCTGTAGAACAGGCAACACTAAGCTACCAGGCACCCAACCGCACCGAAGGGAACAGCGTCGGCCGTTTGGCCCACGACTTCAAGCACCACGCCATCCTAATGCATTTTTGTCATTCGCACTACCAATTTCGATAAAGTAGTGAATGGTGATCCGCACCATGCGAAACTGGTGGCTCATTCGGTCTCCTCACTGCAATGAGTCGTAAACCAACGCAAACCATAACTTTCGTCTAGCAACTAGTGGTCAAACACCAATTCCCGCTGTAGAAAGAAGGATGCAGACCGTGGTTGTGACCCATAAGCATGAAGCAACTACTACGGGATTTTGTCCTGCCGATAGTGTTTTATCGGTAACGTAACCGGTGCCGAATTTCATTGACTTTACCACTTATTGGTGTCAAATAAAAATAATTCTTGACCGCGTAGGGAAATTTATGGACAAATTCCTATTCGAATGCGACTTACCAATCAGCATTTTGTTTTAGATCTATGATGGGAGTCTGGACATTCCTTCGAACAGTACTAACATGACACCACGTCTCATCAGCCCAGTTGTGATGTGTGGTCCACACGGACTTCGCTTCCAAACTCCTGTCCAGCTCACGCTTCCTAAATATCATGCTGACAGTGAACCTGATGAAGTGAAAGATGACTGGAAAATTTCACTCCTTCATGCATCGGCCAACTCAACATCTGCTGACGATGAGTCTGTTTATTCCGCTAGCGCCAGTCGAAGACACTCGCCCAGTTGGAGTGAAGTACCATTGGCCATGAAGTCGGATGTCCATCGAAATGCCAGTGATAGAGCCGCAATTGATGACATCACCAGCATTCCGCTTGGGATAACTTCTCAATGCGAAGATTCAAAAATTTCTATTTTGATCGATCATTTCTAGTTAGAAATTGATTTTTAGTCATGGAATTCGCCTTGTGTATTTGTAAACGACAAACAATATACATTGTGGGAGGCCTGGGTATGCATTTTCTACAAAATTGTGGCTTAGAACATTTTCCGCTTTAAATGCAACTCTAAGGTTCCATTTATTGTGCTGACTCTTGTGCTCAATCGCGCCGGTCCAAAACCTTCATCATGAGAATCAACTAACTAAACTGCGCATCAGATTAAATAACTTACACCAAAATATCAGAGTGATAACAAGGCGAGTCAGAATGGTACTATGCAAGTATTTGACATACCGATAGAACACAGAACTTATGGATCAATACGCAGGTCGGTGTATCGTAGGCCTATGTAAAATGTCAGTATTTAAACTTGGATAGCTTATCTCCAAACACTACAAACAGGAGTTGATATGAACTGTGTCTGATATATCAAGGAAAATTCATACCCCAAACGGGCCAGATAAAGAAGCGAGAGACTTCAACAAAATCCTAATGAAAAACGGGCACGAAACTTCCCTCCTCTATGCTCCGGGCTGACTATGGTGTTTTGTAGGGCGCGATCCTCTCACCCGTTTGATTCTCTTAATATGTCGAAAGTCCCCCAATACGATCAACATTTATTGGATGTAACTTTGCTGATGATATTGTCTTGGGGGGCATATCTCCCTCCATTGAGACGTCTACGCTTCTGTATGGTTTAGAGGAACTTGTGAGTTGGTCCTCGACCACATCCTTTAACCTTAATGCTTTGGAATGTACTGACGCAACATTTTTATTTCTCTGCCCTGATAAATTGCAATTTTAGATACCTCTCCTTTAATAACTTTGGACAACAAAACCATTCCTATTTTACTCACCGCTAAATGTCTAGATGTCTATTTTTCACAAAACCTCTCTTGGTTCAGGCATGTTTTGGAGACCTTTCCCAAGGTCAGCTGTTTATCTTTTTATGCGTTCCGACTTAAGAAGTTCTTCGCACTGCGAAGTATAATTTTGAGTTTTGTAACTGCATCGATACTATCTCGCTGGTTGTACTGTTCCCCAGTAAACTTCCCTGGACTACTGCCAAAAGTACCATGTTTGATTGTGCGAGGAATGAAACTTATTGCCGGATGTGGTGGCCTGTCTAGAGATTCCATAACTGCTTTTATCGTCCGTAAGCGTTTCGACGCTTGCAGGAATTTTTCTTCTAAGGTCTTAAGTGATTGCTCTCATCCGCTACATAATACTCTATCAGCAACATTCTGTCTCTCACACGCCACCAAACTTTAGGATTCTCTCTCACTTCTTCCTATCGTAACAAAATCTTGCCTTATTTGTTGCGCTTTCTTGTCGACCCTATGGATATCGCAAAGGTTTTGCATATGGGGCTACTTGAATGACATGCACATACCCTTGCCTATTTAATTCTTCAATGTGTGTTTATGTATTTTTAACTGGTCCGATTCATTCAGTGTATCGCGCAGTTATGGTGTAAAATGCTTCTAATGCACCTATTTAGGTGTAGAAAGCACACTTTGGCTTGACTTGGCTTGACTAATCGTTTGGTTTAGCAAGAAAAAGGCAGGGAAAGTGCTTAAGGTGCCAAAGCTAAAAGCTAAGTTACGACTGTCATTTAAGCGACGCAATGTAGGTACATTATTTCGGAGGCAGTTGTACTCCGAGGTGGTACGAGTATAGTCTAGGGCGCAACTGGTACTGCCAGTCCCAAGAACGCGCATTCTCACGCCCTTGGTTAAGCCTCCACTACCTCAGTCCAGTCCTTCACACGTCGTTTACCATTTCATACGTAGTTGCAGAGCCACCTACACAGGTATAACAGAGCGTCAGCTGTCGGTGAAAATAGTCAGCTTGATCAAGGTAGGTCAGAAGCCACTTATCGAACTTATCCTCATCCAGCGCCCCAAGTGCGTAGGCAAGGAGCGTAAGCGGTTTTGCCGTAAAGTACACCTGTACCGTCAATCGCCCTCCATCTGCTGGTAGACAAAACATGTTCCTTGTGATCTGGTTTGCAGTATCCGGTTCCGGTTTTGCCTGTCACTGCGGTCACCATGAGGACAGCTACAGGATGTCTGCGCCTACAGAGGGACCATGGGTGACTTGCACCGCAGCACCCACAGCTCTATCCACACACCACCCTAAGGAATAAGACCGGGGAGCCACATTTCATCAAAGGCTCCGACCCACACACCTTCAGCATGCACAGCAACAACATGGGATCTACGCGTCAAATGACACTCATGTTCCACGCTACACTGAGGTGAAGGTGATCAAACAGCCTGACCCAAGTTTGTGCGTGCAAACGGACGCACTGGTCACATGGGTTATATATTGTTAGTAAGCCGGGAACAGATGGTGAATGGTCAAAACTGTGACCGTGTGATTGTTTGCGAATGTATGCACGCATATGTGTACTGATTGTTAGTAAACAACGTCTGATTACCATTGTTTTACTGCACCGATGTATGTAGTCCAACTGCGATTTCGTCTAATACTATTCCTGAGTAGTCACACAGTGCTTTGCTACCTCTACGTTGACACTAGCTCTGAGTCCGAACTTTGTCTACTTCTATTCGTACTAGTTCGAGCCACGTCGATTCCTATTCATACTAGTGTATCCATTGCCGTAAACGGCACCGCGAAATCCCATTTAACTAGGTATCTGTGCCATTTGGGTAATCGAAATATCTATTCAATCGATTGCCAAATCGAGGAATATTTGAAACGCTTTGAACTTTGTTGTATTTCCACTAAAGATCTGAAAGAGAAGAAGCGAATAACCTATTTCCTCCCTACTACTGACAGTAAGCTTACAGCGTTGCAAGGAATGTGAGTTTTCTTTTTACCTGCCGATTTCATTAACATATGATGCGCTCTAAGCATTACTGTTTAAATACGTTCAACCAGCAAGTTTCGAAACAGCAAAAAGCGCTAAAGTTCACATGCTTGCGGGCAAAATTAACGCGGATATATGCGCTTTCATCTTCCAACTCCAAACACAAGCCGCACACTGTAATTGCAGACTCAACCTCGTAAATGTCTGACCGTCGTAGTCAACTTGTTTAGTTCCAGCAAAGTTAATTCTTCGCCTTGGACCAACTTTTTTCATTGAGTTCATTGAGTTGTAGAGAGCAGGAGGGAAATCGCTTGTCAGCCCCATCGATTCCGTATCATACTGGGTTTGATGCGTGTCGTTTCGTTACGACGTTCCTCTAGGGTTCGTCGTAATTGCAGTGACAGCCGCAAGATTCCAGCATTCTCAGCGAGTGTTTGTCTAGCAGCCCCTTTGAAACTTTCTTCGGATGGAGCGTCTGCAATTGCTTCCGCTAAGCTGTTCCAGTCATTCACCACTCTAGTGGATAGAGTGATGTCCTTGCGAATTTTGTGTCTTCTTTGCTTAAACAACTTCCATGTGTGCCCTCGGGTGGAACAGTCAGTGTTGGGCCGGAAGAATTGTTGTAACTCACTTCCAAGTTCCCCTCGGAGGATGCGGCTAGTGTAGATGAGGTCACCCCGGCGACGGCGGAGCTCGAGGGAGAACAGATTTAGCTTCTGGAGTCGAATGGGGTACGGGAGATCACGTAGCCCCAGAACAGCTTTTGATGCACGTCTCTGAACCTTTTCCAGCAGAGCGCTTTCAAACTTTGAAAGCGGATGGCTAGCTGGTAGGCCATATTCTAAGACTGGACGGACGTACGAAGTGAACAAGGGTCGAAAAATCTCGGGAGTCATTCGAGCGAATGATCTTCTTAAGGCACCTACCAGTCTCCTTCCAGTGGCCACCTTCTTTAACGTGTCCTGCGTCGTTCTAAGGTCAGAAGTCACGATAACTTCGAGATCTCTCTCGTGGGTGGTATTCCTAAGGAGAAACCCACCAATGTGGTATGCACCGTAGGGTTCGGTGCCACCTATTGGGAGAACAGCGCATTTATCTCGGTTTACTGGCAGTTCCCACTTGATGGACCATTCGTGTAGCTGGTCCAGAGCCCCTTGTAATCTGTCCGCATCCTCAATGCTGGATACTGTTGACCAAAGCTTAAGGTCATCGGCATAGATCAAGCAGTCGGTTTGTAGCGCAGTCGGTAGGTCGTTAATGTATAGGTTGAAGAGTTCTGGTCCAAGCACTGATCCTTGGGGAATGCCGCTAGTCATGGGCACTGGAGCAGAGAGGGTTTGGTTTACTTGTACGCGCATTGTCCTACCCCTTAAGAAATCGGCAATCCAGGAGAGAAGGTTTCCCGTAATGCCAATTCCCTGGAGTTTATGTAGCAGTCGTACGTGTGGAACCTTATCGAAGGCTTTGCTAAAGTCAATGAATATTACGTCAACCTGTTTTCGGGTATCTACGGCTTCTGCTCATGTTTCCCTGGCGATGAGTAAGTTAGTGATGCATGAGCATGCTCTCCGGAAGCCATGTTGAGCAGGTGAGATGAGGTTTAGATGCACACAGTGTAGCTGGAGAGCCCACTTGACTATTCGTTCCATGGTTTTGCATACGACTGATGTCAGACATATTGGCCGGTAGTTGGCTGGGTCTTGTTTGTTTCCCCCCTTGTTAGAGCACTAAATGGACAGGATCAATGGGTGAAAGCCGCACTTAGGGAAAAGCATTCCCTGTTATACAACTCCAACGGCAGAGTGAAGTCTAGTTACGAGAAGCCGCAGAAAGGTAAACTACCAACAACATACAAAACGAGTGGCAACGCACATGCTGTTTACGGTGGGAGAAGTTAGAAGGATTGTAGGTCATGTGGCAGCAATCATTCCAGACTGATTTGCAAGTCAGTGTCATACCTGTGCTAAGATAGCGCATGTTCAGTCAGTTAGTCGTAGCTTGAAAACTTGTATAGTTCGAGTTGCGACGGATGAACACATGATATCATCTGCTTTTCATACACATGCACTTATTACTGGTTCCTGGGACCATCGAAATCATATGATGCAGAGAGTTGTTGTCATCTGGGTGCATGATCTGGAGATGCCCTCGTTTTCT